TGAGAATCTTGGCAATGGTGGAAAATATATTTTAAAAGGAAGCTGGAAGCAAATCTCTCCTAGAAAACCTAAGGAATAACAGTCATTGAACTTCTGTCCTATGACTTCAATCATTTCTTCCCTACCATTGTTCCTAAGTTTCCTCTTATCTACATTTGTTTAAAAGTAATCAAACTCCACTTCTATCTCATGATTCCTTTGATCCTCTCCCAATATGTGACTACTCTGTTTGAAATAAAGCCCAAATGGACCAACATTTTGCATCAAAGGGTCGGAGCAAGAGGTAGAGCTGTAAGTTTACGGTCTGTGTAATTGGAGATGGTGAATATAATGGCTGAAGGGATTTGATTAGCGATGTCTGAGTGTTCTGACATGTCTGAAAAGAAAATATAGGTTCAAATTGTTTCCCTCAAGTCTGTCCAGCACAGATCAACAGTTGAATTATTATTTTTTATATGGAATCAAGGCAGCCCTGTTGATGTAGCAGCAGATATATAGTTTTAGGACATTTGGCATTCTGGAGAGCTCACTTCTGCTCCCTCTTTTGAGAAAAAAGTTGGTTGAATCGTTGCCTTTCTCTCTTTATTTGACTGATTTTTCCCAGGTGTCAGCTTACTGGATAAGAACCCTGCCCTGAAATTCTACTTTCCTTGGCCTCCCCTCTGTTGAACTTCATTGAATAGAATGTGTGACTCCTGCCTAACTTGGCTCTCTTCATCATAGCTCATGCTGAAGCAACTGGACAGCTTGGCTCAGAGTCCAAGGAATTAGAGACTGCAACCTCGTGGCTACACACCCCTCTTCCTCACATGGCCTGTTCCTGCCCAGTATGGTTTGTGAATAGCTCTTGGCCATTACCCCAGAGGAGAATAGAGCTACCAACAATAGCAACTCCTTTTTTAGCTTGGATCTCTTGGTACTCAGGACTGTGAACTTAGGAAAACCCAAAATAACCTATGTAATTACAGTGGGTTACCCTAACAGTCTATTTCTGCTATTACCAATCTTAGATGCCACTCCAATAGATATTTAGCTGCTTGTAGTGGAAAGAGTACTGGGCTTACAGCCAGATAGACCTAGATTCAAGACCTAGCTTGGCTATTTACTAATTTTATGACATTGGGCAAGCCACTAATTTGAACCTGTTGGAATTGAATGAGTGCCTGCCTGTACATGTAAGTGCCTGGAACCCTGCAAAGTGTTATACAAAGTTAAACCATTGCTGATGGGAAATGGGGGATCAGAAAGTTCCAGGAAAGGAAGAAATTTAAATCTACAAAAAGCAATTGAATCAACTTGAGGTAGGATGCTGCTTACCTTCTGTTCCACACCATGCTCAGTCTTAAAGACAAACAACTAAAACTGTAGTTTCCATTTAAAGTTAAGGGCAGTTTTCCCCCTTTGTTCATGGTTAACTTGGAAATGGGGATGAATTTGGAGGTTCCTTTCATACCAAGGAATGATGAAGTAGGAAGATGAGTCTATTCCTGGTTAGTACTTCCCCTGACATGCTAACTATGTCAGCAAACTGGTTTTCTCTGAAGTTAAGCCATTGCTTTTGTCACTTGAATTTTTATTTTATATTTAGTTAGAGAGATTGGTTCTTCAGACTTAGACATAGTTTTGCCGTTTATCACTCTTGTGCATATGTGAAAAGGTAAACATAAGTGAAAGAAATTGGCTAAAGGTTTTCTAAGGCAATACAACTTCATCATAACTGCCACCTTGCTGACCATGATTGTAAGATCACCTGATCTCAGAGATGGTAAAATAGGGGAAGTTACAACAGTAAGCACCCACATACCTGCCACCCTGACAAGACACAGAACAATTCCCCATACCCCACACTGTTGTGATCCTTCATGCATAGCCCCCCATCATGTCTGGAAGTTACCCCCAAGGATGTGAGTGAAGCGCATACCACAACCACTTTAACACTCACTGAGGACATGCTGGTGGTTCTGCCGTGACTGTGCTGGCTCTTCATCCTCCTGGGCATTTGCTGGCCACTACTGACATTGCTGTGTTGATCTGTCTTGGGCCCACACACTTGGCTGCTGCCATGCGCCCAGCACTGATGTAGCTGCTCCTGCTGCTACTCCTGTTATTGTCCCTTTCGCAGGCCCTGTAGCTTTGGGGACTATAGAAGACTGTGCTTGGGGTGGATTCACTGGGTAGTCCATAAACACAGAAGGCATGGGACGCACACTGGACTCCCTTTCCCACAGCATAGTTAAGAGAGGGGCCCCGAACACCTCAAAGACCATGTTACGGTTCCTGGTGCAGACCTTATCCTAATCCCCTTCTCCATGGGGAGAGAAATAATAGAGGCAGAGAAGACAGAACAGGGGACTGGAAGGGTCTGCTCCCCCCTCTTCCTGTAACTGAGTACACTGAACACTTATAACCAGGCCAATTTTTGAGGTCATCAATCCAAGCTCTCACTTGATGTGGGAATCCCTTCTACAGCACCTCCAAGGATATTTCTAGTTTTGTTTGAACTGTTCTGGAACTAGGAAGAGCACTATTAGAATAACCCCAGTGAACATCCTCACATACCTTTATTTTCATTCTTGTGCTAGTATTTCTATAGGGGTTGCTGAGTCAAGGGAATTTTTACATGCAGATAGTGAGGAAGAGATTGTACATATTGTTCATACACCCCCATTATAGTGATTTATACAAATGCAGGGCATGGCAGCCATAGGAAGGCAGATTACAGTTCAAACAAAAAACTCTCTAAAGAAAAAGGATCACAGGAGATCATAGTGCTTTGATTGTGGTAGTAAGGGTACAAGAAGAAATTGGACTATTATTGTAGATCGGTATGAGATTAGAGGCGATAATACCTAAAGAATGTCTGAAATTGGGCCTTGGGGTATACTCTGGAGAAGCACATGAAACTCTCCAGTGGGGCAAGTCCCTCAGTGGGGGTTCATTTAGGATTGGATTCTGTTACATGGAATTTATTTCCCAGGTAAGCCACAGAGAATCTAAAATCTTTGCAGCTTTTGATTGTTCTCCCGCAGCCTCCTGGCCCCATCTTGCTGAGTTGCAGCAGAGACTTACTGCTTGGGTTTTCTCATCTCTGATTCAATAATGGGCATGTCCACTGTGTCCCCAGCTGGGATGGCCTAGTGATTTCTGTAACCCTCCACTGATTGTCTCAGGAGATAAATGGGCTTTTCCTAATAAGCAAAGGAGTCTTCCATGTGTCTGAAGGAATACAAACCTGCAAGTAAGAAAAAATAGTGGCAGGCTACTGCTCCTCAAACTTCAAGGGAAGCACACTGGATGACTCCAAAGGCTTTGGTAGGCCTGCAACCTCTTCCTTTGATGACCTGGCCGTGAACAGCATGCTCTTCATAGCCTGTGGCTGGTCAGGCCAACAGCATGACAGCAAGTGGCAGAGAATAGGGCTGGCAGGTTCAGTGTCCTTGTCACCATTTGACATGGTTGTGTATGTCTATGATGTCTCATCTTTTGTTGATGTGGATGAAGTTGCTCTCAAAAACATACTCCCCTTCCTTGTCTGCTGTTTCTGAAGTTCCCTTTAGTGGTATCAAATTTGCCCACTATACAACCAGCCACTGTGGGTATAGTGCGGTGACATGGAGTCACTGCTCATGGTTGTGAATGAATATTGCCAGCCATATCAGTAAACAAAATGCCTTGGCCATCAATTCATCAGGTACTACTGCTATTCTCATCAGTGAGCAGAGGGAACTTAACGATGTAGACAAGCATATAGCCTGGCCTCTGCTGCCACCCTCAACCACGTGCCCTGAGGGAATTCAGGATGGGAAAGAACAGGGTACTGGCCCTAGATAGCTAGGTACATATCAAAGGAATGATTTCAGTGAACGTGTGTCTTCACACCTTCCCATATATACAAGGGCTAAATTCCTTAACTTGAGATAGCTAGTTTTCTTTAATTAATAGTCATTTTTTGATGTACCAACTACCTGGTCTTTGTTCCCAAAACTCATAATATACTGGCTTCTACCTTGCCACTTTGGAACGGCCTCTTAAGAGTAATCTGAGATGTTGCCCTGGGCTGAGTCGTCAGAAAGTCCGCCGAATAACATAAGGTTCAACTTTAAGGTTGTGCATTTTATTTCAGACAACATGGTTATAGTTTATCAAAAAAGTAACGCCTCTGGATTTTACCCCGATGAAGGGGTCTTAATAGTTTTCTTTGCCACGTAATAAACCACCACAAACTTAGTGGCTTATAGCAACACACATTTTATTATCTCACAACTTCCATTCGTCAGGAATTGGGGCAAGGCTTTGAAGCATCCTCTGTTCAGCCTCTCACAAGGCTGCAATCAAGGTATAAGCCAGGGCTGGGGTCTCACCAGAAGCTTGGGGTCCTTTTCCAACTTCACAAGACTTGAAAAAATTTACTTAAGTTGCAGAACTCATGGTGCCTCTTTCGTAGCTATCTGTTCTCTTTGCAGCGTAAATCAGTTTCTTAAAAAATCCTCACACTCATTCTTAAATGAACCAAATATTAAATATGGTTAATTTCGGCCCATATTATTTTCTTCATTAGTTTGTTAGCAACTTGAGGGTAGAGTCCTGAATCATTCATGTTTGTCTCCCTCCAGCGGGTTCTAGTCCAGTCCATGGTTTGGCATAGCTCAAATCTCATTTTTGGAAAAAAAAAAATCAGGTGCAAGAATTAAGGTGAAAACGTGAGAGAAAGAGTGTGGAAAAAGCAGAGGGAATTTGGGAAAAGTTAGGGTGGAAGGAAGTGGGAGACACCAGCGGAACTCAGCCACTTTCATTTAAATTACAAAGTTGCACCACCTAATGCGACGCCAGGGGACTCTTAAAGATAAGCCTCTCGCGAGAGGAAAGCTGGCCCACGAGAAAGTGTACGTCCGTTCGTGCCCCGCCTTCCCTGAGCCCCACCTTCCCTGAGCCCCACCTCCCTGTCCTCACTCCCGCCTTGAGCCGGCGGCGTGTGACGTCGTGACGCGTGCGTGGCGGCGGCGCGGGGGGCGGGCTCACGGCGCCGGAGGAGGAAGTGGTGTGGTTGTTTCTCTGTTTGCGCTAGCCGCTGCCTCTTGGTCGCGGAGAGAGGTAGCAGTCGCCGCTGCTCCGTCGCGCTTTTCTTCTGTTCTCCTCCATGTCCCCGGGCTCCGTCGCACCTCTTCCTCAGGCCGCCGCTTACCCCGGGGTCTATGGAAGTAATGGAAGGACCCCTCAACTTGGTGAGTGGCCCACAGAGGGTTGCGTCCACCCTGGGGCGCCTTTGCCTAAAGAGTCCCGTCTCGTCCCCGCATGCCACTAACCCTGGAGGCTGGGAGGCGGGTTTGGCGCGGGTGGTCTGAAAGGCTGGGGAGCGCAGGCAGGCGTGGCGCTACAGAGGCTCTGGCCACACTATGGCAGACGGCCCTTTGCGGGGGTCCCCGGGAAGGTCCCACCGCCTCCGGGCGCCCCAGGGCCCTGGGCGAGGGGCTCCCGCAGGACGGGGCTGCCACCTCTCCAGGCCGGAGGAAATGCCTCCAAGCGCCACGTAACCTCCTCTCTTGCAGCAGAGGTACTGAAGCTGGCCAAGGCAGAAATGGTGTGCAGTGCTGGTTCCAACTTACAATACAGAGAGCTGAAGTCTTAGCCTCCCCACTGTGGAGAAATGGAGCCTACCCGCTTTCATCCCTGTTTCCCTTCACCCATATCTCACCTGCCTTTAGAGGCATAAACTGAGAGTCTCCCTTCTCAAGTAAGTTGGAGACACCTGGGGAAAAAGACAGGGCCGTCCTTGTTCTTAGCTTCATCATTAGGCATCAGGAAAATATGGTAGATGTTTACCTTTCTCAGAAAAAGTGTTGCTAGCTCATTTTCTTATTACGTTTTTAGGCATCTCAGGTGTTGTCATTAAATCAAGGAGAAACACGAGTTGTTTTCTGACTGGCCACTGCATCTTTTGTAGGGAAGCTACCTATTTTGGATAAATTTCTTTTTTTACTTCAGGTTTCAGACAGACAGGAGGAAATTTTAAGAGCCACAGGTTTGCAGTTCACCTGCGATGGTGGGATTGGGAAAAGGGACGTATGGAAAATAATTAAGTTTCTCACGTTGGAACTCTGAGACTTCTAATGTGGTGGAAGAGGCACACCTGGATTTAAACCGCCTTGTAGAGAAGCAATAGAGCCTGGTTGATTTAAGAGTATAGATTCTGGACCTGTCTGGATTTGAATTCTGGCTTTGTAGCTTAATAGTTGTGTGACCTTGGGCAAATTAGTTGACCTCACTGTGGTTTGTTGTGAGGATTAAAGGAGTAAATAAGTGTAAAAGGCTTAGAACAGTATCTCGTTCATAGTAAAGTGTAAAAATTAGCTATTATGATACAGACCAAAACCTTTAATTTAAAATCTCACTTGTGAAATAAGGTTTGGATTTGGTGAGCTTAAAAAGTTTAAGATTCTAGAACTTAAAGCTGTGGTTCCCAAATGACTGGTGCCAGGTTAGCTGCTATGAGAAGCACCTCCCAGTTTTATTAAGTTGAGCCCTGCCCCCATTGGTAAGAGTTGTTTATACTTAAAAGAATTGGACTAGATTTATGATTTTTTTTTAAATCAGGGAAATATCTTGCACTTTTCTTGTTTTTAAGGTGACATGTAGTTGGCAGTGAAATATATTGAATGGCTAAATACTGAAATTTAACAGGAATATTATTAGAAATAACCAGCAGTTTACAAAGTGCTTCAAAGTTCAAGTGTCCTTGCAAAGTGACCATTGGTTTAGTTCCAGCTAACTTCACTTTATTTGGCTGCTTGCTGCAGCATAACTCCAGCCAACTGCCCCACTAGTGTGTGGTAGCTTAGGAAAGGACTAGAACTAAGTGACAGTTGTAGATGGAACAGCAGAATCACCAATTTAGGAAAAATTAAGTGTTGGCAATAGTATTATCTTTTTCTAGAGTAGAATTTTGAATAATCTTGTTAAGGAGGCTAGCATAATTCCATAATCCAGCCATAAAATTTATGTGGACAAGAATTCTTAAACCATTTGAGATTTCAAAGATCTGAGTTCTAGCTTAGGTGTTTTTTGAATGATAACAATAGAACAGAGATTAACATTTACTTGAATCATTTTTACTGTGCTCCTAAGTACCAGTGACATGCCTCTGAATATTGTCACTCAGTTTAGAAGACTGGGTTGTTTCCCCCCTGTGCTCCACAATGCATTCTTGTAGCTCATTTAATACATAGTAGTTTGTACCTCTGAGTCCCCTACCCCTGTTTTGTCCCTTGCACTTCCCTCTCCCAACTGGTAACCACTAGTTTGTTCTCTGTTTGTGAGGTTTTTTTTTGTTATGCTCACTAGTTTATTTTTTAGATTTTACATGAAAGTGATGTCATACAGTATTTGTCTTTGTCTGACTTAGTTCACTTAGCATAAAACTCTCCAAGTCCATCCATGTTGTTGCAAATGACAAAATTTCATTCTTTTTTATGATTGAGTAGTATTGCATTGTATATATGTATATATATATATGTGTGTGTGTGTATATATATATATATACACAACATATTTATCCATTCATCTGTTGATGGACACTTAGGTTGCTTTCAGATTTTGGCAGTTGTAAATAATGCTGGTATGAACATTGGGGCGCTTGTATCTTTTCAAATTAGTGTTTTCGTTAGAAGATTGAATTTTTTGAAGACTCATATTCTTTTATGTCAGGAGATACCTGATGTAGTATCCATTTGACTCAACATGAGAAATACTTCTCAGTGCTGATTTTGAGTGCCTTTGAAAATTCTGTTAGTGTATACAAGCTTTTTCTAATGACATCATAGTCCAAATTGATTGCATAAAGACTTATTACAGTACCTAGATTAATAATCACATATCCTCAGAGCATCCTTGGAATTTAGTAAGAACCAAAGTGCTTCCCAGTTTTACAGATAAATAAGCCTAGATTGAGAGAAATTAAGTAATAAGATCAAATTTATTATGGATCACACCTTATTTTGATTCATGACCTCTTTCTAGCAGTGCTTCTATATTAATGCATTTATTTTCATTTCAGTATGGTCTTTATATTGAACTGTAGACTCTCAGTATTTAGTGTTTCGGCTCTAGTATTTTTTTTTTTGAATTAGTGGGGGGAGGTAATTAGGTTTACTTATTTATTTTTAGGGGAGGCACTGGGGATTGAACCCAGGACCTTTTGTATGCTAAGCATGTGCTCTACCACTTGAGCTATATCCTTCCCTCTTCTAGTATTTCTTTATGTTAGGTTTGCAGTAAGGGTTGTAGGTTTATTTCCCACAGTGAATTTTTAAGATACAAAAGAGATCAGTTTGAAATATTTTAATATATAGTACAAATATTGTGTTCTAGTTTTCTGGTTTTTGAAGTTGGTCAAAAGAAAAATAGGATAAATTGTGTTTCTGTGGGGTTGGGGGAATAGTTATCCTTTGGACTCTGAATCAGGGTTTTGTTTCATCAGTTTTCTTTTTGTCAAATTTTAATATGGAAAAATTTTAACTTATAAAATTACTTAGTGTATGTTTAGGCATTTCTTTCCATACATTTAATTTTGACAATGTGAGTGCTGCTAACAAATGTCAAAACTTGAGTGAGATAATTTCTAGTTCTTTGGTTTGTTTGCAGCCTATTTGGGAAGTGATGTCAGACCTTAAATTACACATGACTGTTGCTCATGCTTTGCTTACCTACTCTGCAAACTGTAAGAACAGGACCCATGTGACCACAGTTGTGTTGTATACCTTTGGCTCTTCTAAGGGTGCTGAGAGTGTTGAGAAACAGCTTCCCTTTGGAGTGGCCAGTTCTCATATAAGAAAAGGAATCAGATATGGTTCAAAGAATGGTTTTGTACATACTGGGGTCTTTGTAACTATTCCATGTTAATTATATTGACAACAAAATCTTTAAGGTTTGGGGAAAAAAACACTGAACCATACTGTCTTGTTGCCCTGAAAAATTTCAAGGAATATTCATCCTGTCACAAGCTAGACTAGGCTTAATTGAAGCACTCTGGGGGAAGGCAGTAGAGCACTCAGGCTTATCCAGTAATTACTAAGTGCTGGGGTTGGCGTCAGGCACTTTGCATCTGTTATTTCGTTTGTTTTCTTAGTAGCTATATGAGATATTCCCCCATTTTACTGATGAAAACTTTGAACTACAGTGTAAGTGGTGATAGTGGGATTTGAAAGCAGGATCCTAAATAAAACATTCATCTTTCTATTAGATCAGTCCCCCTCTCTGCCTTTTTTTAGTGCAGGTACTAGGGATTGAACCCAGGATCTTGTGCTCGCTAAAGACCCACTCTACCACTGAGCTGTACCCTTCCTCCTTGCCCATTTGTTTTGACTGTGATCCAAAATGAGAAATTTTTACACAATGACCAGTACACAGCTGCTACATTATGGATGTGCCTCCTGGAATTGTGTAAAATGTAGGGACCCTCATAAATTTCATGCAAAACAAAACAGAAGGTAAAAAACAAACTTTATAATGATGTGTGTGTGTGTAGGTGTAGTGCTATATATGATGCAATCTAATATTTACTATTAGATTTTTTAAAATGCTGGTTGTGACCCGTTAGATTGATTTCAGGATTCACTACTGGGTTGCATCCTGTAATTTTTCTTCAGTGGCAGCTTTGAAAAAAAAAAAAACTAAACTGGAAACTTGGGGAAGGAAAAAAGATGCAGTTAAGCCTTTCTGCCTTTGGGAGAAATTGGCTTGACATCAAAAAGGCCTTTGTGGACCTCTCTAGCACTTGGGCAGTTATCCTAAATACAATTGCATTACATTACTTGTCAGTTCAGTATTTACTGTTACGAGATACTATTTTCCTACAGAAGACTCACAGTAAAATTCAGAAATGGGGAGTGAATGACGATTCTCCTTTGCTCTCCATTGAAGGCACTACCACAAGGTTTAGGAGTATGTTACATTTTCCTGCACCTTCCTAGTATTGTGTTTGATATGGTGTTCCTTTTCTTTTCGTCTTTACATACAGCTTTCCTTAGGGACACAGCAATAAGTAAATAGAAAGTAATAGAAGGTAATACTGTTTATTTTGGGAAAGGAGATTATAGTGAACCTGTAGTTTTAAGGCAGCATGTAGTTCTTGGTGAGGGCAGTCACTTGATTATCTGGTTGTAATTAGGATTTTTGTTTGTTGCAAGTGATAGAAACCCACTTCAGATTACCTTAAACCAAAAGTTAC